AGAGTAATGGGAGAATTTTACTGTTGACATTCTTAACCGGAAGTTGACCATAACTTCATTAATATTGAAGATAAATATGTCGTGTTTGTACTCATTTTAAAGGATTTTTAATGAAGATTACAAATATGTCAAAATTGAAGTTAACATTTTAAATTTGAAGTTAGTTAGTATATAATAGACAAATGGACAACTTCATCACTATGTTGTATATTTTTATTGCACTAAAACTAACACTAGACCTATATAGAACAAGAAAGTTTCGGGTTTAGCCGCATGTCTCTAAAGACGGCTAAACCCGAATGTTTCTAGTTCTATATCTAGTGTTCGGAATTGGAGGTACTTGACGATCTCAGATATCTAGATTCATGTTATTAGTTAAATTTTCTTAATAAACAATTCTTATATTTTTTTTTTCAAAAATTTTACCTCGTCATAAAGAGAAAACAAATCTTTATCAAAAGAGCCTAACGAAAGTATACATTGCGATTTAAAAAACTTCAAGTGTTATTCGTTGCTCATTTGTTTTCTGAAATAAAAACAATTGAATGCCTTATTATGGCAAACAAAATATTAAACAACTTTTGTATAAATTGTTTTTTTATAAAGTTGATACAAAAGATATATACTATATTCCATACATAATAGGCATCCTGTATATTATATTATAGTTTTCCTCCAATGACGTCACGTTTCCTACCTCACCCCGTTAACTTGACCGAAACCTTCCTGAACTTTCCTAAAAATTGCAGGTAAATTTTCTGTTAATTATTTTCATAAAATAAAAATGATATGGTTTGAATTCCAGCTGAGAAAATATTCTAAAAAAACTACATACTCCTAAGACTAGTAAGTGGTAATGGAAGACTAGACCTGTTTATAGATAGCTGGATTGCTTGCAGGCGAGTAGTTATTGTTGGTGGAAGACTAGATACTGCTCGCAGAAGATTATGTGCGATTGGAAAAGTAACTGTTGATAGAACACTACTTCCTACTTGCAGATGATTAGATCTTACTTGTAGATGAGTAGATATTCTTGGTAGAAGATTAGGTACTGCTTGTAGACTAACAGATACTGCTCACAGAAGATTATGTACTATTGGAAAAGCACTAGATACTGCCAGGGATACTACTAGGAAATCTTATAACTACTATTAGAAGACTATTTCCTGCTTGCAGATGATTACATATTGCGTATAGATGAGTAGATATTGTTGGTGGAAGGTTGGATACTGTTTATAATGCTTGCAGAAGATTGGATATTGTTTGCAGATTATCACATGCTTCTCGCAGAAGATTATGTATTGTTATTGTATCCTGGTTGTAGATGACTAACAACTTAACAAGTTTTAAGAATGATTCCATAATAAAATAAATTAAATTCCATAATAAATTGTTTACGAATGGAATTATTCTAGAATAGCATAACAAGATAAATGAACACTCAAGGATTTCAATTAGTTAATGGAAGAATTTTAAGAAAAACATTCATACAATAAAAGAAATGATTATAGGTACCAAACAATGGATATTTCTTTGAATATTTCTTATACATTTTATCGTTTTTTTTTAGTTTTATTGTGGTGACTACTTGAATTAAGTAGTTGATAGAAAATCGTATTTTTCGTTGTAAATATGTGGTTTTGGGTTTGGAAAGAAAGACAATTATGATTTTTCTGAATCACTATAATCAAAACATTTCTCGAACCACAAAGCATAATTAAAAATTAATTCCTAAAAATCTTATTTAAAATAAACGAAAAATGGGACACCTGTGTATACAATAATCTTGAATTTCAAAAGTATTTTAAGAGATAAATGGAAACATCTTCTACACAAAATTAACACTTAGATAACCTCAACCTTCAATACCTCGAAACCCAACGTTAAATCGCATGTTATTTATTTTGATAAGAAAAGTACAATCTGCGATTAAAATTGAAGACTGTAAACATACCAATCGAAATAGTTGGTTTTCCCAAAGAACTCTGGTAATCGCTTCTGATACCATCGCGAATAACCAATAGAATTTATTTATTTACACCGTCATCAACTTTGTAAATAGTATTTAAAGGCCGATGCTTGACGACCGCTGAAGTTAGTTCGAGTTCAAACTCCGCAGAAGTAGCAACAAGAAAATGAAAGTACTCCTTTTGGTTTGCTGCTCTTTAGCGGCCGCCGGTTTCACCGAAGCCAGATTGTTCCGAAATCGAAGAAGTGCTAAAAATGAATGTAAATTTAATTTTCTCTTTTCAAAACGTTATTCAATTTATATTAATTATTTTTTATTTTAGATCGAATGTGTGTTCCCGAAGAGATTTTTGATTATTGCACCCAAATGGCGCAGCAAAAAACGAAAAGTACGGCGAAAATCGTTTGTATCTCTGCGAGGGATCGTTTTGAATGTATTGAGAAAATTAAGAGAAGAGAAGCCGATTTCTTAACGGTTGATCCTGAAGATATGTACATAGCGGCGAAAACTCCAGAACAAGATTTTGCCGTTTTCGAAGAGATTCGCACTAAAGAAGAACCTGAAGGTTAGCGATTTTTTTGTTTGTGTATGAACGGGTTTTTAACAAGTTTATTTTTAATAATTCCTTTTTTTGTCTTCACCTCGTTCTTAGAAAAAACGTGCATGTTATATTAACAAAGTCATAAAATATTCAGTCTATATTTACATGTAACTCTCAGGAACAAGGTCGCCCGATTCATAAAGAGAACTACAATCGTCTCTTTTGTAATACGTTTTATAGTTTTGTTATTGAAATTATTATTAAATTAATGGACGTTTAAATAAGAAAAACTTTTCTTTTAGCCGAGTTTCGTTACGAAGGAGTCGCAGTAATTCATAAAAATTTAAAACTTAACTCAATATCCGATTTGAAAGGATTAAAATCGTGTCATACCGGCGTTGGAAGAAACGTCGGTTATAAAATACCAATTACTAAATTAAAAAATATGCAAATTATCGGCAAGTTGAACGAACCCGGTTTATCAGCCAGAGAAAACGAATTAAAGGCGTTATCTGAACTATTTTCGAAAGCTTGTATTGTTGGGAAATGGTCCCCCGACTCTGTTATCGACTCCAAATTAAGTATAAAACATATCTTTAACAACAAAATGATTTTATTAATTCTTTTTTTATTTAGAAAAAAGATATAGTAATTTATGCCAACTTTGCGAACATCCTGAAAAATGCGATTATCCGGATAACTTCTCTGGTTATGAAGGTGCTTTAAGATGTTTAGCTCATAATAATGGAGATATTGCTTGGACTAAAGTTATTTTTGTTAAGAAATTCTTTGGGGTAAGTTTTTAATATTGTTGATATTAAAGTAACGAAGTTTTATCTGTGCTATTGTTTATTTTGAGTACATACAGGATATATGACTGCATACAAACTACGTTGGGATGACAAATTGTATAAATCATGTTCAAACATAGCTTATACAGCATATTTTGATTTTAAGGTTTTTTAGCAAATTTCACCATGCTCTTTAATCCCAGCCAACGTTAATTCAAAAAAGCTCTAAATTGGCACGATTACACTTCAGATTTATCCCCATAATAGTATCCACTAAAAGAATTCATACAAACAACAAAACAAAAACAAAAAAGAAATCAACATGTAACAAAATCGAAAACAAAATAGCAAAATAAATAACTAATTCTAGATATAACAACAAAAACAAAAAATAGTGTTCCTAATTAATAATACAAGCCAGATTGAACTCGAATTACACAGATATTCAATGGCAGATATTCAAACTTAATATACTCCTGCGGAAAGACAGAAATCATTTTGGAAAGACCCCAACGAGGAATAAAACATATCACACATCGAACAATGACGATTGTAAGAGTGCATCAATCGCGGTAAAGGTGAGTTGTAATGGCAATTGGTCGTAGAAGCGGGCAATCGGAAAAGACATTGATCTCGAGTGGGATAGCTAGGAATTAAGAGAGAAATGTGTCTCACAAGTTCTGGCGAGTCAACAAAACCGTTCATTAGTTTAAACAAAAATAGCAAATCCGTAGCAGCTCGACGGCCGCGCAGTGTACGCAAACCGAATACTGTGCATCTTTGCTCGTAGGAGCAATAAGGCAATGCGAATTTGTGAGCCAAATAACGCACAAATCTGACCTGTAAGGCCTCAATGCGGTCAATGTACACAGCATACGCAGGTTTCCATACAACTGAAGCAAAATTAAGAATGCTGTTTACGCAAAGATTTGATGCACTGTAGATTGGTAAATGAATTTGACATTCTAATAATGAAACCTAAGCTCCTATTCGCCTTACTGATAAGTTCCTCTACGTGGTATAAGAACAACAGTTTAGAATCGAGCACTAAGCCAAGATCCTTTACCTTAGACAACACACTTAAGGGTCCGGGTCCAAGCTTACAGTTTTGATTTATAGTGTATCTTTTTCTGGTGAACGTTATTTGACTGCATTTACCATAGTTTAGAAAGAGATAATTATTAGTACAATAGGTTTGCAAACGATTAAGATCCATTTGAAGTTTTTCGCAATCAGAAGATGATTCCACTTTGGAAAATATTTTACAATCATCGGCATAGAGCAAAAAGTTACTATGGTGAAAGCACTCGTAGATATCGTTTATATAAGCCACAAACAGAACCGGACCCAAGTGACTGCCCTGAGGCGCTCCTGAAGTTACCGGAATAAAGTTAGATATGTAATTATTAATTTTTACAGCCTGGCATCTATCAGAGACATAAGACGCCAACCACACTAATAACCCATCAGTCAGGTCAAATTTTTGCAATTTGGTCAGGAGTACCCCATGATGCAATTTGTCAAAGGCTTTACTGAAATCAGTGTAAACTGCGTCGACCTGGTGATTTTCATTCAGACAAGTTTGAATGTAATTAATATAAGATACGAGATTGGATTCTACAGATCGACCACGAAGAAAACCATGTTGCTGCTGCATAATAAACGGTTTTCAAAAACCTTAGATAAAATAGGAAGAATAGAAATAGGGCGGTAATTTGAAACAGAATTTCTACTTCCACTCTTATAGATTCTCTTATAGATGAGCGCTTTTTTCCACTCCAATGGAAATACTGATTGAGCCAATGAGCGACTGAAGATAATGAAGAGCGGTTTAGCAAGTTCGGAGGCGCATGTCGCTAGAAAATACCTGGCAACCCGTCAGGACCTGAACTCATCTTATTATCAATTCGAGTGAGGGACTGCGCCACATCCTCGATTGAGAACCAAGGTTGGAAACAGGAATTTACAGTAGAACGTGGTTGTTCCTGAAGTCCACCATCAATAAAAACCGAACTAAAGAAAGACGCGAATAGTTCGGATATTTGGTGACCACCGTCTGCCAAATTGCCATCGTGTTCCATACGAGCCGGAAAACTGTTGCCACAACGTTTTTTATGTTTTGCATAGGACCACAGTTGCGATGGAAAATCAATCAAAGTAGATTGCATGTTCTACGTAATACTTTGAAAGAAAGAAAATCCGCATGATTACCCCATCTTTTCCATTTCTTATGAAATTTAATTTTTCTTTAATTACTTTAATTGTAGAATTGGAATACCAACTAGGGTAGCGGTGTTTACTAAAAGTGAGACACGGGACAAAATCATTAATAATTCGGTTCAGCTGGCTGTAAAATTTAGTTACGCATAGATTTACTTCGATACCATTAAATAACTCTATGCTCTCAAATAGATTGTCATATATTGTATCAGAGTATCTTATACGGGATGGTCAAAAATTACCATTTCTCATACAAAATAAATTTCAAATATGGAATAATTTACTATGATGTTTAATGACTTACACCCATCGTCAAATGTGGTCAAATGTAACTAATGACAACAATAATACAAACATGGACCAAAAACTGTCAAAATTCCATAGCTTTCTAATAAAAAAAACCTGCATTTCGTGCATGTTTTAATAAATTTCACAATATGAGGCTTAATTAGAAAATAGAGAATTAAATTCTCTTTCTGATAGGCTAAAAAATATGGGACGTTCCATTTAAAATTTTCGACTTTCTCGCCATTGAATATGGAAAAACAGTAATTCAATTTTTGACCGACCTGTATAAGATACTTCGATACAACAAATGACAATCTATTTGACAACATCTTAAGAGTAATCATCTTTTATCAAAGTCAACCTATTTTTTTTACGTACAATTAAACGGTGTAATAAAAACTTCAACCTTCCATTTAAAATAGCGATGTTATGGTCTACTTCCGGTAGACAAGTGGCGGCCATCTTGAAAATATTTTAGATCGAAAGTTCCGAATGAACAACCAATGATACCAAAATTTCAAATCTCTACGAATAGTGGAACCTGAAAAAATTCTAACGAACCATTTACGTGAGACACCTGTATAAGTATACAGGGTGTTCCGGTGACTCGGGGCATAAAATTAACCTCATATACTAGAACAAAAATGATGACGATTCGTGAAAAAAAATTATTATAAAAGTCTTCAAATGGCTAAGATATGGGCCATTAAAGTTCAGAAATTTTAACACATTTTTCTAAATATTTTCAATACCATTTTCGCGTATAACTCGAAAACGGTCAATGTTATCAAAATTTTCAAAGAGTGATTAAAGTCTCTAATTGTAAAATAAATTTTCTATTAAAAAGTACAAAAATAAATGTAGGGTTACGAGCGAACAAAAAAGTTCTGAGCAAACAAATTTTAGGGACAGCCTGTATAGCATGATTGCCACCGCCCGATCAAAGTCAAAATTGGTTCAATGATTTTCCTTGATATTTGTTTACCCTATACCAAATTTCAACGCTCTACCATAAATGGTATTGAAAATATTTAGAAAAATGTGTTAAAACTTCTGAACTTTGATGGCCCATATCTTGACCATTTGAAGACTTTTATAGCTCTAGTATATGAGGTTAATTTTATGCCCCGAGTCACCGGAACACCCTGTATAAGGGTAAATGAAACGTTGCATGCTATGTAGGGAAGGATCATAAGTTATGATACCGATCTGGTAGAAGCAATTCTACAAGATAAATTCACTACCAATATTAAGTTGGGGTAGATATTAAATAGAGATAGGAAAAGAGAATGTCTATCGAAAATTATATGAGAATGTTTGATTTGAGAAAGCTAGGAGCTTAAGAAAAAAAGGGAAATGTGAAATTGGCATTGATGGCTCAACATACTGGATTTAACTTAAACTGGTCGTCTTACAATATGTAGTCTGATTTAGAAAATACGTCGAGTATAGACAATCAAAGTTGTCAATGACAAAAATTAAAATTCTTGATCCGATTTGGACCTACTATGCTTTGTTGGATTGCCAAAAATTTAATGGCGGCTTACTTTGATCAGTGTAAGCCCTTTAGCCTCCTTACCTTCCAAAATCAATTTTTTTTAAATTTTTTGAAGCAGTTTAAATTTGGCAATGGAAAAAATAGTTAAACTTTTTTGTAGTTGAAATCACGTCCGCTGTTAATGACTCACAATCTTCAGCGTCTCTTTACATAGATGCTCTTTCTATATGATTATTTCTACGCGCATCCATTTAATAGTCGTCCTATAAGTATAGGCTGTGGTGGTACACGAATCACATTAATGATTTTATTAGTATTAATATTCATTTTTGTTTTCTTTTCACCTGGGTAAATTTTGCACTTAAAGGTGAAATGTGTTTATTATCACTCTACCGGTTTCGCTCCTTTCGGAGCATCTTCGGGAGTTCCTAAAGTTATTAATTTTACAACACTTTCTATTATTATATAATTTTACATTTTAACTTACGTCAATTTTTTGAACAACTAAACATGTATGTGATACTTTATTGAATTAATTCACTATTAAAATGTTAATCTCTAAACATGTGCTATCATACATCACTTTTTATTATATTTTAGGTTATGTTGAAACTGTCAATGGTATATTTTCTATTTTAATGTTGGTAATCTGTCAAATGTGATTGTCGTGTATTGAATTTAAACTTTCTTGTTTTGAATAGGTTGATTTTCAACAGGTTAAAATGAGGTATTACAACATAAACATATTAACTCCCTACATCAAACACACTGAAAAATATAATGGTACAGAGAGAGCAGCTATTTTTAGAGTTCGGGAGGTTTTCGTGGAGGTGTGTATGGTTGTTTGAGATAGGTATATAGTGGTCTTCTTGTAGGTATAATTTGTTCGTTTAGGCATGTTACATCAGGGCAGTTGTTGAGGAATTTATTAATTTCATAGTTTTCCATTATTTCTAAATAGTAACTTTTATTGATATGATGAAGGATTCTGGAATTTTTATCTTCGTTAAATTCATGTTTTGAGTTAAATGTTAAGTGATTTCCGAAGTTGGAGTTATTTTTGTGTTTATGTTCTCTTATTCTTTTTCTAAGGCTTCTGCCTGTTTCTCCAATGTACGCTGCTTTACAAGTGTCGCACTCTAGTATGTACACACCATTGTCGTCCAGTTTATTTATTTTGTCCTTATTGTTTATAAGCATTCTTTCTAATGTTTTATTTGGTTTGAAATTAAGATTTATATTATATTGTTTTAAACTCTGTTTTATTTTATTGGATATGTTGCCTTGGAATGTTATAGCTCTATAATAAATACTTTGATCTTCATTGTGTTGATTCTTTAGAGTGGTACAATTAATCATTTTTTGTTTTTTCTGTTGTTTGTTTATAATATTATTTATTATGTAAGTTGGGAAGTTATTATTTTTCGCAACTTGGTAGATTGTATTTATTTCGGTGGTAAGGTTTTCTGTGTTCATTTTTGAATTGTATGCTCTATGTATGTGTGATCTAAAAGCAGCTAGTTTATGTGCGTTACAGTGATATGAGTCGTAGGGTATGACTGCATCTGTCTGTGTTGGTTTTCTGTATGTGTTAAATATAAAACCGTTATCCTGTGTTCTTTTTATGTTTATGTCTAGGTAGTTTATTTCGTTATTTTTCTCTTGTTCTATCGTAAATTGTATCTTGCTGTGTATTGAGTTAATATATTTATGAATCTTGTTTATAGTGTTGTTGTCTTTAGTATTAACAATGACTAGTATGTCATCTACATACCTTTTCCAAAATTTTATGTTTTCAAAATATGGATTATTATCTTTATTAATTATAAGTTTAGTTTCCATCTCATTTAGAAATATGTCAGAGATCAAACTGCTCAAAGGAGACCCCATTGGTAAACCCTCTTCGTATGAATATATATTATTATTGAATTGTTGTAAACTGATCTCGAATAGGTTGAAAATGTTATTACGATCATTTAGGTCTGTTATGCTATGTGATAGAATGTCTTTAATAATGTTCAATGTTTGTCTGGTGGGGATGTTGGTATACAGGTTGACGATGTCGAAGGATAGAATAGTAAAATCTTTTGGCAGTGACATTATGCTCAGTTCTGTTATTATTATTTATTTATCTATTCCGAATAGTGTGTGTTGGTTGGAAGTTAATATTTGTTTTGAAAATGTCTATTAGAAATTTTGATATTTTGTAAGTACTTGAGTCGATGCTGGTTATTATTGGTCTTATGGGCATGTTCTGTTTATGCAGCTTAGGCAATGCATACAATCTAGGTATTTTCGGGTTCATTGGGATGATTGATCTTACATTTCTGCCATATTTCGTTAAAGTAGTTTTACTATTGTTTATTATTTTCTTGACTTTTTCATGGAAGAAGTTAGTAGGATTTTTTAGGGTTTTTATGAAATTGTTATCGTTAAGGAATTTTTCGGTTTTTTTATATAATTTATCTTATCCAAAATGACTAAACCTGCACTTTTATCGCCCTTAGTAAAGATTAAATCATTTTTTTCTATTTTCTCTTTGATGGTTTTCAATGTCTTTTCTTCATTTTTCCTTTTCTTTTCTGTTTTTTCGTTGTTCTTTTTCGTCCTTTTTGTTATTTTAGTTTCTTCTTTCATTAGTATTTGTTGTAAGGTTTTGTGTATTTCTTCTTCTTTTGGCAGTCCTCTCGTAGCTGCTTCTATTTCTAATGCTGTTTTTCTGAGGTTGGTTGTTTTATATATGGAATATTTCAGTCCTTTTTCTAGTAAATTCATTTCGTTTTGATTAAACGGTGTCTTTGACATATTTGTAACTCTTTTATGAAATTTATGTGTTGTTAAATTCTCTCTTGTTGATGTCGTATTCCTATTCTTCTCCATTCTTTGTTCTTCTCGAAGTTGTTTCAATTTTTTGTCTTTCTTTTCCCATTCTCGGAACAACTTCTCCTTCTGTGTTTGTTCTATGTTTACCATTATTTCTTCTATTTCTTCGAAGTGTAAAGTGATAGTTAATTCTTGGTATGTATAGTATAGTTGGATATTGATGTCGTTAATTATAGAATAATGTTTTTTTATTTCTGTTTTTATATCTTTTGTCATGATTTTCTGAATCAAATCTGTTTTTAGATGTTTTGGAAATTTATGTCTAGCAAATTTTGGTTTCAGTTCTTCTTCTAAACATGTTCGTAGGAATAGTATGTGTTGGAGTTGTTGTTTTAATTTTAGTTTAGTTCTTCGGTACTCTATGATGTTGTTGGTCGTACTAACCATTGTATTAATATTCATTTTTGGTTTCTTTTCACCTGGGTAATACAATTAAACAAATTTTGCACTTAAAGGTGAAATGTGTTTATTATCACTCTACCGGTTTCGCTCCTTTCGGAGCATCTTCAGGAGTTCCTAAAGTTATTAATTTTACAACATTTTCCATTATTATATAATTTTACATTTTAACTTACATCAATTTTTTGAACAACTAAACATGTATGTGATACTTTATTGAATTAATTCACTATTAAAATGTTAATCTCATCACTTTTTATTATATTTTAGGTTATGTGTTTTGCAGTCCAAAATGTAGGGAATAAATTCGGCACTTAGACATAACTTGATAACCAATATTAGTCTTTGTCAAAAGCCGTAATTTTTAAGATGTGATATATTCAAATTTATTATTCAGAACTATTTTTTGTGACTTTGTTATTCTATTACAAAAAAAATAGTTTAGTATTGTTTATAAAAAATTACACTAAAGAAAAAATTTTATATTCAAACAAAATTTTGTTTTAGCTTCCTGTAGGGAACTCCCCAGCAGTTCCAACAAACGAACACCCCGAAGATTACGCTTATTTATGTCCCGATGGTACCAGAGTTCCAATTGATAAAACTCCTTGCAGATGGGCAGCAAGACCATGGCAAGGATACATGGGAAACGCAGATGTTGTAAAAACCGTTGAAGAACTTCGAAGAAAAATCGAAAATTTAGACACTGAGGGTCATAAAGCGCACGCCGGTTGGTTAGAAAAAGTTTTAGAAATTTCAGATAAAAACGTTGCAAAACCCAACAAAGTCATTACACCCGGTGATTATTTAGACAAAGGAAATTACACCGATGTTGTTGAAAGAGATTACGGCCCACCCTATAAAACCGCAAGATTTTGCGTAACAAACGACGATGAATTAGCAAAGTGCCAAGCGTTAACTGAATCGGCGTTTACAAGAAATATTCGCCCAAGATTTGATTGTGTCCAAGAAAGATCGATTGAGGGTTGCATGAAGGCTATAAGAGATGGGGCGGCTGATATTATAACTTTAGATGCGGGATTAGCGAATCGAGCTGAAAAAGAATTCAATTTAAGACCGATTGTTTCGGAGACTTATGGAAAATCTGGGGGGATTTATTACACGGTGGCTGTTGTTAAAAAAAATTCGCTTTATAAATCGTTCGCCGATTTAAAAGGAGCTAAATCGTGTCATACTGGGTATGCAAGAACCGCGGGGTACAACGCTCCTTTATACACTTTAATTAAACTTGATTTGATTAAGAAAACTTCGTGTCCTTATCCCAAAGCTTTGGCGGACTATTTTTCGGGAAGTTGTCTCCCGGGGGCTAAAAACCCATCTCTTAAATTAAACGGAGAAATTGCTGATAAATTATGTAGCTTATGCATAGGAAATAATGGAGATAAAAGTACAAAATGCAATTTTGATCAATCTGAAAGTTATTCCGGGTATTCCGGGGCTTTTAGATGTCTCGTTGAGGGCGATGGGGATGTTGCTTTTGTGAAACACGTCACTGTACCGGGAAATACCGATGGAAAGAATAAAGAAGATTGGGCCATTAATTTGAAATCATCAGATTATGAGTTGTTGTGTCCTAACGGGGGAAGAGCCCCTATTGGGGATTATGAAAAATGTTTCTTATCCCAAGCACCACCTCATATGGTCGTTACAAGCAATACAAAGAGTCCTGGGGATATTGAGGAGCTCCAAAACGTTTTGGTCGATCTTGGGGAACAATACACTGAGAGACCCGATTTGTTTAAATTGTTTGGAAGTTTTAATGGAAGGAAGGATTTATTGTTTAAGGTAATTAATGATTCCGATTGCTCCTAACAACGATTAGGTACCTCAATTAACACTTTAATTAATCCTGGTTTTGAATCGAACGATTTTAAAATAAATTTTCTTGTAGGACTCAGCAATTGGTCTTCATGCTGTTCATGACGATCACGAGGCTTATAAAGAATACAAAAAGCTTTTGGATGTTATTAATGGATGTTGAAATCTATTTTAATTTTATATAATAATCAGTCTTCTTATAATAAATAACAGTAGTAATAAGGGGAAATAAAATAAAATTCGTAAACGATCTTATTAGAAGTGATTTTATTTGAAAAAAATTCAAATACAATCATCATAACCCTAAAAAGTCGAAATATTATTGCCTATTAACACAACACAGTCTAAAGTTTTTTTTTCTTTATTTTATAAATCTTCCACGTTTCTTATTAATCGTGAATGTTACAAAAAACACGAAGGATATGCTCTTGAGTGTTAAGCGAAACGTCTCATCTTTTTGTACTCTCGTTAAAGATTTAAAAAAAGAAATACTGTTTTAATAAATTTAAAAATAAATATTATTTTAATAACAATAAATTTATAAAAGAGTTTGGAAGACTAAAACCCAATTTTGAAAATAAAAAAAAAATTAAATAAATAAATAAATTGGAAGTGGTCTCCTTTTTATTCGGAAGACGCATAAAAAGTTATTAAATGCTATTTTAGGGAAGCGACGCTAGATTGCTTTTTTTGTGCTAAAATTTACAAAGCACGGAATACTACCGCTTTCATTTGGAAAAAACTCGATTTAAAACCTAGGGAGTGTTTGAAAATATTCCTTTTTTTTAATATAGCAACATCTTTCAATATACCGTTATTTCTCTTCACGATTATTTTTAAGTTATTTGAGGTACTGTTCGTAATACGTAACTATTTTTGTTTTTTTTCTTTTAAATAATATATCAACAATGTCATAATCTAAACGCGCTAAAAGTGGTCGCTACTTGGTTAAGTACAATTTTTTTTAATTATTTTTTTCTTTGGACAATCAATCACATTAGATTTGTTCGGGTTCTCTCTTCGGAAGGCCTTTTTAGTTTTCTTTATTATTACTATTTATTTTTTTTTAATTCTTTTGATGCGGTCAAAGAGCTGCGTTACAACTCACTCTGCTCATCCACGAAAAATCTTTTATCGTCGCTATGTGCATGGAATAAACGGCGGCAACCACTAATATGTGCATTATATTATGGGAATTCATGTAGTAATCAACGGTACCTGGAAACCATTTTTCTGGAATGTGTAATGCTCCTATAGTAGCACCGATTACCGAAACTAAATCCTAAAAATTAAAATAAAGAGATATATTTAACGTTAATTGATGATTTTATTATTTACCTGAAGAACAATATGTGTAAATGCAGCTGGATCACCCCCACCGAGATTTGTATACCGCGCAAAACACAGCACCATCCTCATTGTAAATGGAAGTAGAAAACATAGTCTCCTCTCCCACGGCGACCAAGCCGTCATCGCTTTGTAAAGACCCCAAAGGCTTAACACGCTGTAGGAAAATATACCGAACCACCTGACGATAATTGGAAGGCAATAGGTCGTAGCAGTTACCATTGGTAAGGCCCCTAATAAATTAAATATGTGTTAAATATTAAAACTGTTGTAAAGAAGATGTGAACGAAATTTTGGTACATACAGGGTGATTATTATTTTTTATTAAATTTTAATATAACATTATTAATTGCCTTTCTAGATATTCTTAAAGATATTCTTAAAAGTGTTTATGTCTCCTTCCTTTCCATTCAATTCCTTCTATTACCAATCTTTTCCAGTGTCTCCATTCTGACTTTGTCCAGTTTCATAATCAGTTTATGATTGCATAACTTATATTACCTGATAATCCGAATTCAGGGACTGCTTCATATATTTATGTTGAAATATTTAAGTATTTATTTTTTATTTAACTGTTTCATATAGAACCGTTCGTCATTACGGAAGATAAAACATAAAGAATACTTGACCCATTTTGAGAAATACAAGAAAGTGGAATCAACCTCTTCACAATATACTAATATAATGGATACATAAAACTTAACTCTAAGGATGTAGATCACTCTGTATGTATTACCCGATTTTAATTAAATAATTTTACTAACCAAAACTCTGGCTAACCCAAATCCCCAACATATCCAACTGAAGAAGACGATAGTAGATAATTTCGCCGCGTTCGAGATTCATGAAGAGATGGTAAAGGAAGCTGCCTATCCAAGGGCACAGGATCCCAACCACGTGACACCAAGAAAGGAACCATAACTCAGTATTCGACCACGGCATTATATTGGGGACGGTCAAAAGGATGTAAATTATTGGAATCGCTAAAAATAAAAAATAAAATTTTTTTTAGGTTACTAAATTAATACGGCAGTGAAAGTTTGAAGGTCTCCCCGTTAAGATAGCATCGATTTTACCCCCGTTCTAATTTTAAAGGGCACGACCCGATATCCTTGAAAATAGTAAACCCCATATTGTTAGCCCCAACAAAGAAGAAATGAGACGAAGGCTAAAACTATCAAACTTATTTTAGCTAACGACTAAAAAAGCAAACAGTCTATTTTTGAGTGCACGTGAATAAGATTAGAAACGATTACGCGCGAGAAAATCCGCTTTAAAGATAACCGTTTTACTAGTATTACACAACTACAATAAGGAATGATATATTACCATGCGTTAAGATGTTAATTGTTTCATTGTGGAGATAAAACAAGCTGTTCAAACACCCCCAAGCGGTAGTCATTGGTCTGTAACCATTAAAAATGTAGGGATTAAACTGAAGATGTTTCGGCATATCTTTCCAATGTAATAAATCGGCCCCTTTCGATCCTTTGCTCCATGCGTCCTTTTGCTTAGCCTCATCTTTTCTTTTCGTTTTCAGGTGTTGGATGGTGGTGGTTTCCGGTTCGGTCTGCATCTGCATATCGCCGTGGTTATTGTTGTAATTATTGGAGGTTGCTGGAGGACGCTAAGGAAAAGGGTAGTCACCGAACGTGCAACATTTTGAGTTCGATACGCGTTTCGAACTGACCTCGCGGGCAGACCAACACGCGAAACTAGAAACGCGCAGGTCCTGCCGAAAATTTCGGTATTGATTTGCCGCAGTACAGTACTCAAAATAAGATACATTCAGAAACGATTTATCTTTATCAATATCAAAATCATTGACAACAACAAAAAAATAAACGTCAAATATTTTTTTTTAATAAAACGTCAATTATTTTGACGTTTATGATATCGTTTATGATATGTAGCGGTTTATATTTTTTGTATATTTCGTGGGGGTTGATCTAAATGCATATGAATGAACAAGATCGAGTGTCTCCCGCTTTTGCTGATAGCAAAAACCGTCCAAAACGCCGTTGAAACCTTCTTGGAATTGAACGGCGCGTTCGTACTTGCGAGCGTCGCCGCAATTTACGCCGTTTACGCCGTCGCTCGTGTCGTTTACTCAAAAAGGCGGCAATTTCAAAATTTCATCGATATGATCTGGTTTCTCGAAGCAACGGTAAGAATCTCAATCAAATTATACCTTATTATTAATAATTTCGTTGCATTTTAGTCAAAAATCGACCGTAAAGACTGTCAAGGCTGCATGATAAAGGTATTTACAAAAAAAGAGTGATTAAATAAGGGATTTCTTAGATATAAAAAGGATACTTTTTGATTTTGATCTATGTTTCCGGCTTCTATCCATTTCCGGGGTAGGATGTAAACAATAAAGTTTAAAAACAACTAAAATAAGAGTTTTTAAAATATCACTTTAAAATTTTAATAAAACGCGCTGACTTAAACGTCATATTGACAGTTGACATTTTGAAAAAATTAATTTTATTAATATTTATTTTTAACAAATTCTAAAAATTCTTTTATTAATTAATCTTTATTAATATAAAATATAATATTAATTAGAAATTCGATATTAATCATTAAATTATTTGGGCCGATAAAGCAGATTTCGATTTTACGTGTCACTTTAATTAATCAAAAAAAAAAAGACTTATCTGTTTATAAATATATGTAAAATTACATTTAATCAACATAAATGTTGTTTAAATTAATTAAAAGAACGACTTTATACATAAATACGACTTAGAAACTTAAAATAACCGGATTTAATGCGAAGTGGATTAGTCGATAAAGTAGTACGCGTTGCGTCCCCTACAATAAAATCGTGTGGCTTCTCGCGTTATTAAGGGTTAAAACGTTTATTGGGGCGCCAAGGGTTGTTTCTTACGCATCGAGATTTACCGGACGTTAATTGCGTGTTAGTTTCGCCCGATTTATCGGTGTTTTTCTTTGATGATTTCGAATTATAAACCTGCAACGACGACACGGTTCGCCAACCAATAGGTTGGATCGATGTTCGGGCTGTTGTACGCCGAGTACGTTCAAGGTTCCGCACTGAGGACTTGGAATTGTGTTTTGCGTATCGCGAACACCGTCTGGTACAAATTCAATCATTTAAGAGATCCAATCGTAAGTAAAATCAACGTTCGATTAAAAGAGAATTAACGGGAATCGTGCGGTTTCGGGCGAATTTTAGGAAATCGCAAAAACTGTTTATGGATGTAAATTCAATATGGCCGACGTGCAAACCGTGATGGAGAAAATGCTTTGGTTAAAAAATTAGTTCTTTCTTAATTTATCGTTAATGTTAATTATTGTTATTTATTTCGTTAAATTTAAGATTTGTTTTTAAATTAATTTAAAAATTAATTTGAATTAATTAAAAAAAGAAAAAAAAAGAAGAGTGCCTTGTCACAAAATTTTGACAGTTAAAATTCTCGCGCGTCAACCCCAAAACCACAAAAAATTATTTTTTAGTTAATTACTCGCGTTTTAAATTTTAACGTTCTTGAATTCATTCACCCTTAACGATGACAACAACAACGAAAAATCTCCATGTCAGCTTAGGTCGACATCCTCAATTTCTTTTTTTCAAACCATATTTATTTTGCAGATGCCGAGGTCTCGTAGGAGGCACCACTCAAGATCCCGCTCCCGATCCAGATCGCATTCACATGATCGCGACAGGGAACCCAAACGGAGGAAGGTCGATAGCTACGATAGTCCACATCATAGACGTTCAGTCAGGTTTGTACAAGTTTTTATTTCTTTTCTAAGTCGCTTTATGTAATATAAACAAATTAGAATGTGTGTATCCCTAATTTTGTATCCCCTATATCCTTAATTTCGATTACATTTTATATATGGTGGTTAAAATGTTTAATTCAAGGAGATTTATGAGGTGGAAATTATATTTTAAATGAAAATCGTTATTAAATTGTATTTTAAGTTGCAAAGTTATCTGAACTCATGTATAAAGAATTTAAGGGTATAAAAATAAGGTAAAAGGTAACATTGGTATTAAATTTTTTTTTCATTATCAAGATTAAAAAACCTAATCATATGAGACAACACATCCTGCTGGTTTAATTCTGTTTATCTTGCAACCCATAATAATTTTATACTAAATTAAAACAAAATTGATAATACAAAGTAGTGATTGGTAAAAAGCTGATAATATTTTTTGGGTAAATACTGAAGCTTTCTTTATGTATTTTTTATAAGCTATTATTCTATATTGCAGTGTTGTCCACTAATTTTTGATCAAGATCAACTTTTCATATAAATGTCTTGCCAAGATCCCAAGATTGTTTTGCTCTGAGGCCCAGATATAGATATTTCAGATTCATGATTTTTTTTGTAATGGACATTATGGTCACCACTGATTTAGAGCTTATAAATAAAAAATGGTAATAATTGAGTTCAATCTTTTTATGGATCTAATCTTTATGGTCCATTACTAAGATTTTATGTATAAAAAATATTTCCCCATCGCTTTTAGTTTTTGTGTTATAATTGAGTTAATTTTCGAAAATCAACAATTTTGATGTTTAATCAATTTAGAGCTTATAAATAACAAATAGTAATAATTGGGTTCAATCTTGTTATGGATCTAGTCTTTATCGCCTATTACTAAGGTTTTATGTATAAAAAGTTTTTCTCCATCGCTTTTAGTTTTTGAGTTATGATTGAGTTAATTTTCAAAAATCAACAATTTTGATGTTTAATCGATTTAGAGCTTATAAATAAAAAATAGTAATAATTGGGTTCAAACTTGTTATGGATCTAGTCTTTATGACCCATTACTAAGGTTTTATGTATAAAAAGTTTTTCTCCATCGCTTTTAGCTTTTAGTTATGATTGAGTTAATTTTCGAAAATCAACAATATTGATGTTTAATCGGTTTATTGTTTATATATAAAAAATGCTAATAATTGGGTTCAATCTTGTTATGGATCTAGTCTTTATGGTCCATTACTAAGGTTTTATGTATAAAAAGTTTTTCCCCATCGCTTTTAGTTTTTGAGTTAATTTTCGAAAATCAACAATATTGATGTTTAATCAGTTTATAGCTTATATATAAAAAATGGTAATAATTGGGTTCAATCTTGTTATGGATTTAGTCTTTATGGCCCATTACTAAGGTTTTATGTATAAAAAGTTTTTCTCCATCGCTTTTAGTTGTTGAGTTATGATTGTGTTAATTTTCGAAAATCAACAATTTTGATGTTTAATCGATTTAGAGCTTATATATAAAAAATGGTAATAATTGGGTTCAATCTTGTTATGGATTTAGTCTTTATGGTCCATTGCTAAGGTTTTATGTATAAAAAGTATTTCTCCATCGCTTTTAGTTTTTGAGTTATGATTGAGTTAATTTTCGAAAATCAACAATTTTGATGTTTAATCGATTTAGAGCTTATAAATAAAAAATGGTAATAATTGGGTTCAATCTTGTTATGGATCTAGTCTTTATGGCCCATTACTAAGGTTTTATGTATAAAAAGTTTTTCTCCATCGCTTTTAGTTTTTGAGTTATGATTGAGTTAATTTTCGAAAATCAACAATTTTGATGTTTAATCGATTTAGAGCTTATAAATAAAAAATGGTAATAATTGGGTTCAATCTTGTTATGGATCTAGTCTTTATGGCCCATTACTAAGGTTTTATGTATAAAAAGTTTTTCTCCATCGCTTTTAGTTTTTGAGTTATGATTGAGTTAATTTTCGAAAATCAACAATTTTGATGTTTAATCGATTTAGAGCTTATAAATAAAAAATGGTAATAATTGGGTTCAATCTTGTTATGGATCTAGTCTTTATGGCCCATTACTAAGGTTTTATGTATAAAAAGTTTTTCTCCATCGCTTTTAGTTTTTGAGTTATGATTGAGTTAATTTTCGAAAATCAACAATTTTGATGTTTAATCGATTTAGAGCTTATAAATAAAAAATGGTAATAATTGGGTTCAATCTTGTTATGGATCTAGTCTTTATGGCCCATTACTAAGGTTTTATGTATAAAAAGTTTATCTCCATCGCTTTTAGTTTTTGAGTTATGATTGAGTTAATTTTTGAAAATCAACAATTTTGATTTTAATCGATTTAGAGCTTATAAATAAAAAATGGCAATAATTGGGTTCAATCTTTTTATGGATCTAGTATTTATGGTCCATTACTTAGATTTTATGTATAAAAAATATTTCCCCATCGCTTTTAGTTTATGAGTTATGATTGAGTTAATTTTCGAAAATCAACAATTTTGGCGTTTAATCGATTTAGAGCAGTAGTGTCCACTAATTTTTGATCAAAATCGACTTTTTATATATGTAAATGTCTTGCTAAGATCGACCGAAGAGTTTAAAGTAACCTTCCTTTTTTTTTTGCTCTGAGGCCCAAATATTAGATATTTCAGATTCATGATTTTCTTGGCGATCGAGTAGTCTCTCTCCATATCTTTCTCTTCTCTTTTCCATTCAATCAGCACTCTCGCGACTTTTCCATGCTCTATCATGGTTGCCTTAATATTCGTTTTGGCTTTGATCTAGTCTCTAGCTGATTTTGTAACTGCTCCCATCGTTGGTGCATTCATTCTATCGTTTGACTTTGCTTCTTGGGAGTGTTCCTTGCTACTACAATGCATTTCGGTATTTCTAGTTTTCCAACTTTTTCCCTACATTAAGTAATTTCTTCGTCTACAGCGTGTTCCATATGGCTCTATTGATGGGTTTTTACACTCTCATGCATGGTAATTCATTTTTATATCATTTTATCAGGAATTGTAGAAATATAATTAAATAATTCATGATGATTTCACCAGGAAATAGCTCAAAAACCATTAAAAAGCCTTTAATTAACCCAAAAAGCGTAGATGGAGTTGGGCGGATAATAATTTTTCATTATGAACTTAATTAAAGTCTTCGCTACCTTACCGCTTTTTATTTATGGTTTTTTAACAATATTAATATTTATTGCAATTACAAATTATGAATTCGGCTGAAGATGAGGTGTATGTTCGAAATCATTAATTATGTTCGAATATATTTTACATCTTGTCACATAACGATTTATTCCCCACACTTTCTTTGTCTCTTGATAAATCCTACATAAATTTATTCTTATGACCAAACCAACATCCTACGTTTTCCTCATAATAAAAGTGCATCGTCTTCTTCCTCCGAAAGTGAGGAGGATTGTCCGAGATATAAAGTCTACGTCCTCTGTAGGACGATGCACCGTCGTAGAGGCCCACGCGAAATATACTCCATTATGGTCACAATGCTCCAACGACCCGAACTTAAAACAACGAACTCAACGAATTCTTTTTGATTACTTATTACGTTAGATAAGACGACACTCAAATTGTTTTATGCTCCACTGAGAAAACAAAAAAAAA